ATGCTAAATTTTACATATTCACTGGGTTTTAATTTAGCGCATTTAGCGAAATTAAAACCCATTGATTAATTAACCCCTTTACAGTAGCACTCCAAACGCTATGGATCATCTTGCTACTAGCTACATTTATAACTTGTCTTCTACTCCATAGAGTCCTTTAAATCTAGAATGTCTAGCTACCTTTGATCATAAACTATAACCCACAAGCATGGGATCTCCCAGTTAGTCTGTTCACCTCTGGGGCATAATCAACTGATGGCAAAAAGGATATTCTGATGCATACACTCTCTAAAGATAAAGGGATACCCAAGCAGAGTATACAGTATACCGGTGCATATTAGAAAATCTTCTTCGATAGAAGCACATGTAAACAAAAAATCACATTTGTTGTTTAATTAATCATTGAAATATTACTTATTTTGACCGTAGAAGACATCTGCAATTATGTGGGCAAACTAACAGAGCAAATACAGTATCAGTATTGTTCATTGTAATGTACTGTATAGGATTAATGATTGAACTGTACATTATTTAAAATAACATGCCGTGTATGGGTGTTACTACAGAATTTGATGGTACAATATTTAAAATAATGTACCGTGTATGAGTGTTACTACAGAATTGGACTGTACAATATTTAAAATAATGTACAGTGTATGAGTGTTACTACAGAATTTGACAGTACAATATTTAAAATAATGTACAGTGTATGAGTGTTACTACAGAATTGTACTGTACAATATTTAAAATAATGTACAGTGTATGAGGTGTTACTACAGAATTGGACTGTACAATATTTGAAATAATGTACAGTGTATGGGTGTTACTACAGAATTGGACTGTACAATATTTGAAATAATGTACAGTGTATGAGTGTTACTACAGAATTGGACTGTACAATATTTGAAATAATGTACAGTGTATGAGTGTTACTACAGAATTGGACTGTACAATATTTGCAATAATGTACAGTGTATGGGTGTTACTACAGAATTGGACTGTACATTATTTAAAATAATAATTAATTCAAAATAAAGTATTGAACTGATTATTACTTTCTGTATGCATATGTAATGAGTTTCAAGAATTAAACTAATGATAATTTGTTATTATATTACCAATTTAAAGAAATATTGTAATTTCAAAAAAAAAACTCTTTTAAAAAATGTTTTTGAGTTTTTAAAAAACTGGCTAATGTTTGCTCATCACTGTTTGTTCTTTAGTGAGTATGAAGTTTGATTTGTTTTTTTGTAAACAATAATTATAATAATTAATAAATCTTACCTTAAAGTGGAGTTTCCTTTTTGAATCCATTATGAGTGCTGGTGATTTCAGTTCTTTTTAAATTCTGTTTATAGTCCAAAGTAGAATTACTAGAGTCTGAATTTCCATTATTAATGATGCCATGTTTAGTCAGTGTATCACTCTTGTAATAGCTGCTTTGTTTTAGCATACTGCTAAAGTTTGGGTTAGTGACAATCCCATTGCGTTTCAGCTTTGGTTCTGGAGACATGTGTGGCTTAGTGTTCAATACTTGGTGTAAGTGGGCATCCTGAAGCGATACACCAGATGGTAAGGATGATTTGCGTCCCATTATGATGTGATCAGTGATTGTATGTGGCATTCCAAGTTGGATTAGATTACGTGGTCGGTGTTCTGGTGATGGGGGTTTCTGCATTACAGGATGCTGCTTTGATGCCAAATGACCAGTATGTGTTGGCGAGAACTGCTGAGGCGGTGAGCTGGAAGATTTCTTTGACTTTTTAAGTGAATGTTTTTTTGCTCGGCTGATTGGTACATTTACAGTACCTCTTTCTGGAAGTGTGTGACAGTGTAACAATAAATTACGTGGGGGTTCCGGTCGCACATTTTCTTGTGAGTTGCTCTTTTCAGGTTGAGGAACTACAACAGTGTGCTGTTGTATTTGTTCAGTAAATGAGAGCCCAGGGGGTGCTTCTGTCGGTGGTGGCGGAAAAGTAAATGATGACAAATTGGTTGATGTTGAAGTTAAATTGGATGACGATTTTGACGAGATGTTTGATGCCATTGACTTGCGTTTATCGATTGTGGAGTCAGGAGATGTTTCAGTGGAACTAGATGACATTATAGCACCATTACCTTGCATACCATTACTAGATGTAGATGGGATTGAGGCGGTTCTACGTACTGGGTCACTACGTGACCCACTTGGCCGTAAAGGGTTAGAGACACCCCAGTTCTCCAGAAGCTTTATAACCCCATCATGGTTTCCTTTGATAGCAACTCGTATAGCAGTACGGCCAAACTGATCGGCATGGTTGGCATCAGCACCGTGTTGCAGTAAAGCATGTAGCACCTCTACATGGCCTTCTTGAGCTGCAATACATAATGCTGTTGCTCCTTGATTACAGGTGTGATCAACAGTAGCGCCTTTCTCCAGCAACACCTTGACAATGTCATCATTCCCCTGCCATGCTGCAGATTGAAGTGCAGTGCGCTGATCATTATCAGTGCTATTTACCTTAGCATGGTGTTTTAGCAGCAACTCCACCATCTCTGTATGTCCTTGCCAGGCTGCTACATGTAATGGTGTTCTTCCCTCTGTATCTGTGCACTCCACATATGCATCATTCTCCAGTAAATATTCTGCCATTTCCAGTCTATTCTCTAATGCCAACATATACAAAGTGGTACGGCCCTCTCCATCTTTGTAATTAACATTAGATCCCCGACAGATCAAATGATGTACCACTTCTTTATGACCCTCAATTGCAGAAGTTCTAAGTGAGTTTCTTCCATCATGAGAAACATGATCAATTTTTGCACCAAAATCCAACAGTACTTTCACAGCTTCCAGATGGCCTTCCTGGGCTGCAAGAACAAGTGCTGTTCTGCCATCATTGTCAACTTCATTTGCTCGGGCACCTTGCTCAAGTAAAACATCACATGCATCTTCTTTGCCTTCTAAGGCTGCCATATGTAATGGGGTCATACCAGCATTATCCCGATGCATCTCATCTAGACCTCTATCTAGCAGCATCCTCACAACATCGCAGTTACCTTGTGCAGCTGCAATGAATAACACAGTCCTTCCCTCTGCATCAATTGGGTCAACTGCAGCACCCCAAAATAAGAGGACATTCACAACTTTTGCATGCCCCATAGATGCAGCTGCGAGCAGTGATGTCCGGCCATTATTATCAGCATGCTCCACATCTGCATCTCCTTCAAGTAAAAGTTCAGCAATTTCATGATGACCTTCATATGACGCAACCAATAAAGGTGTCATCCCATCATTGTCTTGGAGTTCAACTGCAGATCCCCGTTCAATCAGCATACTAACAACCTCTGAATGACCCTTACTGGACGAAGCCACTGATAATGCTGATCGACCATCTGAATCCTTGTGATCAATTTCAGCACCATGATCGAGCAAATGATCCACAATTTCAGTATGTCCCATATATGCTGCTGCAATAAGAGCGGTGCGACCCTCCTTGTCAACTTTATTTACACTAGCACCATGCTGCAATAAGCTTATCACAATATCATCATGGCCACCCCAAGATGCTGCTCTCAGGGCAGTACGCTGGTCGCCATCAGCTGCATCCACATCAGCACCAGCATTCAACAGTGACACAACTGCATCAGTGTGTCCAGCCCAGGCAGCTGACCGAAGAGCAGTCCACCCTTCATGATCCGTATGGTCAACTTTTGCACTATGATCCAAAAGGCAATTAACTATTTCCGAATGACCCTGGCGAGAAGCTAAATTTAAAGGTGTCTGGCCATTTTTATCAATTGCTTCAATGTCTGCATTTCGAGATAGCAAAAGTTTGACAACATTCAAGTTGCCACAATATGCTGCATTGGCTAATAACGTCCTGCCATTGCTATCTTTATTGTTCACAACAGCACCATTGTCAAGTAAATTACGTATGCACTCTTCCTTTTCCAGGGCTTCCTGCAAAGCCATTGCATTCTCATCTAAACTGATGACCGTTGACCCCGCATCAACCAATAGTTTCAACACATCCTGGTTTTTGGGTGTTGATGACAGCAGTGCATCCTGTAGTGGCGTGCCAGCCCAGACAAGCCACAGCGCCAAGTGATATGGCTCCAAAGGAGGGCAGAGGTGCGCATCGAGGAGATGCTCTGCAAAACTCTGCACTGCTACTGGAGTTAGTTCTGCTGCATTGCACGTGTACTTCATTGCCAACATGGCATGTCCGTCAGCTGTGTTACACAAATACTTGTGTGTACAGTGCTTTACGTCCAGCAGCCACTCGGCAAAACTGTGATGAAATATAATCCTGGTGTTGTCTTTCCTTTTCACCAGAATCTTGGTCATCATTTCCAGGCGCCGGTCGAATTCGTCCTGCGCGAGGCCGGTATTCCTCGTGCGTGCCGCTGCATAAAGTTGCAAGTCGGTGACAGGTCGTTTGGCAGCCAACATAACGTTCAATATGGGCTGAATCTTGGCGAATTGTTTGCGTACAAATAAACGCTGACATAGCCATAAATAGAGTCCATTGAGTGTACCGGGAATTTCTGATATGTCGCGTAGACTAATAAAATTCTCCGCAACACCGTCGAGCACCTTTTCCAAATACATGAAACACCCGTTGCTTTTTATATGCAGCTGGTTCAACATTTCGGCTGTTTCCCTACTCAGGTGTTGTCTTAAGTTCTCTTCCCTGTCTAGACGGCATAATATGTATTGCTGGACATCTCTCACGACGTGCGATTTCCTCAAATCATCCAGGCTTATCTTTCGGAAACCTGTGAACATACGTGTGACATTTTTGCTTTGTCGGCGAGCTGTGCACACCAATAACAACCACGGCGGGAACAGTTCGTGATTATTAGCTAATAACTCAGCGATTGTCCGGCTACCTCCGCCTGCTGATCGACTCCCACTTGGTTCAACATACCCTTCGTCAATTGAGTCCACCAAAATAAAGCAGTACCGCTGAGGTGGACTCAAAGCTAATAGCGGTAACAAAACGCCCTTTTTGAAGGCCTCATCAGGATTGCGTCCACATTCCGACGGCTCGAGGACTGCTTGAACAGATGGGTCGCGTATTTTGTCTTCGTATCCGTGCAGGAGGTTTGATCTCGATAATTGAGCCACTAACCCCAGAATAAAAGTCGATACTGATAATGTCTCGTTATCATGAGCCTGGCAAAAATGGAAACCAAGTACGCGTCGGCTTAGTGTCCGTTGTTTTCCATGATTCGAGGTCGACCACACAATTTCCGCAGACAACGCCGTCTTGCCGCTCCCAGGCCCGCCCATAATGAGAGTCCCGCATGTTTTAGACGTTGGTCTGCTCTCCAAGCAGTGGAATAATTTCTGAAATGCCCATTCGCGGCAATAAAATCGTTTTCCTTCCAACATACACTGCTGAGCCATGGTGACCGAGGTCTCGACTTGCACGCTTCTGCAAGGCCTAGTCCAAATAAAAACATTGGGCAATACCAGCTCCCAGTGTTAATGACGTCCCATCACGATTCCCCGTACACTGTCAGCACCTGAAATAAGACAAATGGATAATCAGTCACAAATAACGTAAAATGTAGCATGGACAGATAATTAACGAGACTGTTCAAGCTACCTAATAGCATATTAATGGTCGTATTTAAATGGCAAGGGAAAAGACATACACGGGGCGTACTATGCGCTGTAAAAGCTGGTTAAAATAAACACGATCACTGTGTCATAGCGTTATTACGGTAGTCTCAATGTGCAAATTCCAGACACACTTTTATGGATTGCCAGCAGCCGAATAAGACCACTGGGAAAAAAGAAAGAGAGAGAGCGAGGCCGCCAAGGTCGTCTTGTGTTTCTTAACATCAGTACTGTTCACACAATCCTACCTAAACAATAGAGCCACAAATCGCTGTCATCGGGAATCCTGTGACTCGATTGAATAAAACAAAGCACAGCTACCGTCACCTTCACGTCAAACGCCAAGTACCCTCAATCACCGCGAGTTTACGTTCCGTGCGAGACAAATACAGTTACGTTACATACATCTCCAACATGGCTGACATGGAAAGTTAGACCGGTGAATTCCAAACAGACTCCACATAGTTCACAGGGTTTTGCGACAGATTTATACCAACACACGGTACTCGCTCGATAGCTGAGCGAATTGCTTGGTTTACTTAGATCTGAGTTGACCGGTGGTGGGCGGCGCCATGACGTCATATTCAAAGGTTGCTATACGCCGACGATAAATGATTGACGGGCACTGTCTGGCAACAATAGCGTTAGAAATAATTAGCATCACGTGATCACCGTTAAATTACTACATTATGAGGTTCATTCGGGGCAACCCAAAGCGACAATTTGGAAGTCACACATTGCAGAGTATGCCGTTGATATTAGATGGATGATATTGCTACATATATACGTTTAACCGCATTACAATAATTGGAATTGATTTATGACGACACCCGCCTACTCCCACACTATAAGGGAGATGTTCCGGAACCCCAACGCATGAATGGAAGTTTATTACAAATATTTGCTTTTCAGATATCTAAGAAGTTTGTTATCAGTCGATACACCATAATACTATATCTTTCATAGAGTCTATGATAATACTAATAACCTATTTATTGTAATTCGTGGTTTATAACTATATATCTATATGCATTTTTAATATGTGTTGTTTATTCGTTATGGTTTTAAATAGTGATACATCAATACAAAATCAATTACAATGCGGCACCTAGGGAGTTATAGGTATAATGACAATACATTATAAATAATAACACTCAAACTACAATTAGTTTCCCGACCTTTCTCTTCGACGCAGATGTACGATTTTTACAACAATCTAAGAAAAAAAAATGATATCATAGAAGCCGGAAAACAAATATGTGACAGAAGATAATGGTAATGAGTAATAAAAAAAACCAGCTCGCGTCGGCATAGCATAATCTTCATTTTATGTTTGTTTATTTTACCAGCGGCAGAATTTCAATATTTATAGTTTTGAAGTCTGGTACGCTTGAACTTGCATTTCTGTAATGGTGTATTTCACCGTATTGTAGCAGTAGTTTTTTTATGATGTGTTAGTATTTCGTCCTGCGTCTAGTCTTTTAACAAATCTTTTAATTTCCCCAGATCTTGAGCGTTTAAATGTAACTATTTTTCCACGTATAATAAATAAACCTTTTCTCTAACCGGAGTCGGAACTTCAGAATTGTATTACAACATCTCATTTGCCTACTCCATTTCACTCTGTCGATTATGAAATCCGCGGTCACTTGCCTATCATTATCCGTATTGTTATAATCCAAATAATCCACACCCTTTTTACATTTGAATGAAGACACCGTGAATAGACCGGAAGTTCAATTCATCCGTCTCGCTTTAGATGGGCCATTTGTTCTCGTTCGGTTCTACCAACGGCCTTGGACGGATATCAACTGAACTTCTCGATAGCCCCGGAGAAGGAATTCCAATGTCGTCATAGAAACATATATATAAACGATCCTGCCTATCTATATTCGAGCGAAGCTCCCAGGCATGGACGCGCTTTACAACCCTATCGTATTGCGATTAAAGTTAAAGTGATTGATTTTCCGCGGTCCAATCAAACACTTAAATAGAAGGATTTTATCTCAGACTTCACCCAACACAAGACTATACGCTGTCCCATATTGTTTCAACTTCAGAAGGATGACCAGTTGTTTGTGTGTGCTTTGGTTGTCAGAGTATCAATGCAGCCTTGTAGTGACATTGTTTGTTGAACTTCGCCAATGGCTTCCTGTTGTACGTGATTGTGTCCTTTTTATCGCCGAACAGGGGTAATCTCGAAATTATTATTGCAATGGCATCTCCGGTTATACACTTCGAAGACCCCGATGAAATATTATTGCGGAAATATATTGAACGATACCATCTGTCTACACTTTATACGACCTTATACGCAAAGCAACTTTTTAACTTTTAGATAAAACAATCTGAGTTGATCTACTACGTCCTTCGATTGACCCCTGCTCAGAAAGATCGAAGTCTGAACTTATCACTTGCCCAGACTGTACAACCAATTGCAACAGGCAGTTTATCGGCAATAATGGATTCGAGTTTACGGCAAAACTATATTGCAATATTGGAATGCAGCTTTGTGTTTTCTTTGAAAATTATACACACAATCAAATTATTGTCGTCGAAATCCCCCTTCCCGAAAAACGTGTTGATTTTGTCAGTTTACACTTCCCCCCACGTCATAAGACCACTCCCCTAAAACAATACACCCACCCACCCCGGGACACCCACCCTTAGATACTGAACGTGAGATTTCATGTCCTCTGTGTGACCCCTGTGCGGAATAGTTATTGAACTTGACATCAAATCGTATCCTATCAAACGTCTCCTGGTTTGAAAAGAACATTGGAAACGTTGAAGAGCACCAAATAAGTAATTAACTTGACGAAAGTCCCGAAAGTTTCTGATTACATCTGTAGAAATAAATACCATTTCTATTTTAGTACATACATTTGATTATTAAACCATGTTTTTGCAGTTATGTATATCAAAATTACTGTTACGTAACACACTGTTCCATATTTGTTTGCAACTGTCTCCAATTCGAAGCACAAAAGAGCCCAGATAATAGAGTACTAGTATGTATATGGTTTTACAACGTCGGACATATGGATGCAGTAGTAGTACCGAACGTGTTCGGACGTTTAAAGTCTCGTTTCGTGGGGTAAAACAGTGTATGCATGTATGTCACCGGAGTTATCAAAACAACGATTCAGTTCTCGATAGTTTGGAAACTTTAACCAACAAATAACTATTTCAGTGTGTACACACAGGAATACATAGCACGCTATGATTCCCACGAATAATGCGTAATCGCCGCAATGGGTGGACTTGTACGCCATGGTGAGACTGTAAACAAATAGTCCAGGGTATCACGCTGAATGAAGAACGCGCGAGAATTCCTAATAGCGCTGTCACTCTACTCTGGCGGTCGATGTCCTTTCCGGTGTAAACGTGCCCTTTAAATGGCCGATTTTTCTTTATATAAGTTTAAATTCAATAAACAAAAAAACAAGTAGCAACATATATATACACCCTACTAACATCTGTTCCGTCAAACCTATGCAAACGAACACGCATAAATTTATGCGTCTATGCATTTTTTGGAGGGTTTTTCAATATATACCGAAATTTAGGGACGGATAAAAAGAGACATACACCTTCCCGATAAAGATGGTTGTTTTGATTTTGTGAATGATCAGTTGTAACTATTGACGCATGGACCTCAGACTACTAAAAGAAGAGACTGACACACAATCATTGCCAATAACCAACTCCACGAGAGATGACGCAATTAAAGAAAACTTCCATAGCCCGTTGCGTTATGTGACCGGATTTCCGTGCTAATATTAATTACAGTGAATGTACTACTGTCCGCAGAGAATTCGTATTACGACATGGGTGCGAGAAGTAGACAGTATGACCGTGGATTAGAGCAACCCGTTAGACGTCCGTCAGTTACTCGTTAGACGAATTAAACTTGACATGGTTACTAGAATAACCAGACACGTTAATTGCGATACTGATTTTATCGCTATCTTGGGATCTCAGTACATAATGTACTAGTACTCGCACAGTGTCGTTTCATTTATGTCACTAAAAAAGCGAGAATTACAAGTGCATTGACCCCGTCAATTCTTGGCAGGTTGTAAACGATTATTAATAATGTCGTCGTATCTTTCACATCATCACGTACGCCACTTTGAGTAATTATCATTCTGAAATAGTTTTGAGTTTCCAATCACGTGCCATTATTGTTCCGTGATTTCTAAACAGCGTGTAATCGTCGGTAATTTATCGAGTAGTAATATCAATCTACTATTTTATATTGAGATCCCATTATTCTATTCGGGGCAGGACCGTTGCCACTGCGAGATCTTTAGGTTGGCGAAGTTGTTTTTGGATAGACAATTACTAAATGGGGACATCGATACGTTGACATACATTATGTAGATTAATAGTCAGAGTGCAAAAATGAAGTGTAATTATTCGCGAACTTGAACAAAATGATCAGTTGTTGTGAAACCATCATGAAAATAAATGTATTCCCATATTTCGGGATTGCTCAACTATATAGTTAATCCTATGTGTGTAAAGATTGTATCGCAACAAAGTCGTTCAGTACTTTGCCTATCAGATATTACTGGTATCTCCATTAGTACAGCAAGGTCAGTCCCAGGCTATGTGTGTACATCACAATGACAGAATCGTTGGTCAGTTGGTGTTTTTGTATGCGTGGACACACCTACGGTGAACGTACGTCCTTGGACGATTGTGATCGTTTCAATGGTTGACGTTGATGTGTTAATCTCATGTAGTCTCCTTAGAATATCCGGGCTAATCACTTCACATCCTAGCGAAAAAAATGCCCCCTTTTAACTTAATCAACAATTACAAAAACAACTTGTCTAAAGGAGATACAAGAATGAAGTAAACTACCATACAAGTAGCGGGGTTCACTATTATAAGAAACGTCGTAATGGTTGGTGGAATTTCAAAACACGGCGCATGGCGTGTATTTGTGAACGCAATGTTTTCCTAACTCAGTGCCATTTCTTTTAAACAAAACAAAACGACTTATTTGACCGCTCTGTTTATTTATAAACACGAAACAAACCAGCATTCGCATTGTGGCTGAACAAATCTATTCAAATATGTGAAGTATGACGTTGGTGTCAGAGTAAGCATTGTAATGAACGCGCAGGATTTTCATTGCAAGCACTTAATACCAGCGAGCAAGCACGAACTCGGACAACATATATTGACGCAGACAGTGATGTACATTACATCGATATAATAGGGTTGGCACCATGCAATGATCACACTGAAATACATGGAAATGTAATATTGCCAACAAACTTTCTATGAACAACTAAAAATTGTGTGATGTTCAGACTAACGGAAACTGGTTTTAAAAAAATTAAAAAAATCATCATTGAGAAATATATATTCTCACCATGTTACGTATACGTTATCTGCAGACACTCATGGACCAGGGAGCTGCAATCATTACAGTTCCCTGCATAGACCAAACCCATGACTGAGCTGACTCTCCCGTTGTCCTGTTTAAACTC